GGTGCCCTGCCGCGGGCCTCCCGGGGCTCGAGCCCGGCGGCGTCCGCCGCGATGGCCCTCAAGATGGTCAAGGGCAGCATCGACCGCATGTTCGACAAGAACCTGCAGGACCTGGTGCGCGGCATCCGCAACCACAAAGAGGACGAGGTGAGCCGGCGCGCCGCACGGGGCCGGCCTGGCTCTGCCCGACCCCGACGCCAGTACCACCCGGGACCCCGACTCCGGCCTCCTGCTCGCCCCCGAGGCCTCGAGCCCCGCCTGCTTGCGACCCGGGCCGCCGCTCGCGTCTTTCTCCCTGAGCCTCAGTTTACCCCTGACAGACGCGAGCCGCGATTCTCAGGACCTCCCGTACCTCCCGTGTGTGTCGGATCACCTGGGGGCCCTGCCGCTGGGTGCCCTCCCCCCACCCCCCCGTAGTCTCAGTTTACCCTCTGGGCGATGGAAGCCCGCCTCCCCGTCGCCGCAGGTGGCCCGGGAAGAGACTTTGGAGGGCTCTAACTCCGCTCCAGGCCTCTAGACTCCTGGTTGGGGGGCCCTCCTCTCCGCGGGCCGCTCCCGGAGGAACCCATAATGGGATTGGTACGCGTCCGGGTGGCCCTCTGGGGCCCGGTCCGGGAATCGGGCCTTGCCTCCTGGGCCCGCGTCCCCGGGAAGGTGGAGCCGCCCCTCTCAGGGAGGGAGGGGAGACCGCGGGAGCCCTGACTCAAAATAAGGAAGCCGCTGGGGGGTCCTGGAATGGGGAAGCCGGCTTCAACCAGAAAGCCGAAAGTCGGGGCGAGGAAAAGGCTGTCCACAAGTAAAATCGTAACCGTGGGCCCCGTTTCCTTCCCTGCGCCCCTCCCCCCAGCCAGTGACCTAGATTTGAGAGGAACGGGGACGGTCAGTGGCCACCAGGCCGCCGGCTTCCTTGAGGAGGCGTCAGCCACACTTGCACAGGGGGTCTCGAAGGCGCACCCCGCTTTCCCAGGTGGAGGGGGAGGCTGCCCGGTGGCGGGCGGTTGTTGCGTGTGGTGCGGGTCCCACGGGTCCCACTGCCCGACGCCATCCGCCCTCCTCACAATGGCGCCGGGGAAGTCGGGCACGCCAGGGTGGGAAGTGCAGGGAAGGGAGGGAATTTGCCCGAGGCACCCGCAGCCCCCGGGCCGTGTGCCGGCCCGAGTTCCTGCCGCCGGTGCACTTTTTCAGAACGGGCGTGACCTCGCTGGGCAGTCATTTGCACCCTCCTATCCTTCCTTGGCTATCCCCGGTTTTGCACCGTTAGCCGCTCCCGCTCGCAGGGGTGGTTCCGGTGCGCGTCTCACTGGGTCCTGGCCTTCAGGTTCGGTGACGGGAGAGGGGCTGGTTGGCCTGGGTTTTGTCTCTCCCAGCTGGGAGGGGCCGAGTGAATCTGCAACCTGTTCACCCCGCACGTTTCTTTTGTGCGCGGGTTCTCCTCCTGATTTCCCTGGGTTAGCGGATGTTGCTGGGCCGCCTGTTCTGGGATGGCGAGGAGGCACCGAGGCCGCTCCAGTGCGGGCGCCCGGTGTTTGGGGGAGGCACGCTGTCCCCGGGCAGTTCCCTGAGCCGTGGTTGATTCACTGAGAATGGCTGGCGCCTTTCCGCGGGCTTGGAGCCCTTTCCGCGGGGATGCTGGAGGGGGAGGAGTCTTCGAAGGCCCGCGTCTGTGTGGGTCCTGCCCTCCACCTGTGGGCGATTCCCAGAGGACGTGGTGTCTTGGCCCCCCCCCCCCCCGGTTTCCTCGTCAACAGATCGGGGTGACCTGGGGGCTGGTTGCTGGGGTGTCCTCCAGTCGCCTCGCCGCTCGGCCGCTTCTGCACCCTCTGGCTGCGCTGGGTCCTCCCCTGCTTCCCCACCGCACCCCGGTGAGGACTCGACACTAGGCGCTTTCTCCGCGGCAGCGTAGCGCACTCCAGAGTCGGCTTGAGAATAGGTTTTAGCCGAAATCTTCGGCGCGGCATCCTACAAATGAGGCTCGACGGGGCCTTGAAAGGCCACGTGGAAATGCAGCGTGATCTGTGGTGATTCAGTCGTGTTGTTGGACATCGGGAGGCTTGCGTCCAAGTTCTCGGGCTTATTGACTGGGTGACGAGGGAAGTGCCTCTGATACAAAGTGGGGGTGACAGCGTCTGGGTGGCTCCGTCCGTTAAGCGTCCGACTTCGGCTAAGGTCGTGATCTCGAGGTCCATGGGTTCGAGCCCCGCATCGGGTCCAGCTCTGTGCTGACAGCTGGGAGCCTGGAGCCCGCTTCGGATCCTGTGTCTCCCTCCCTCTCTGCCCCTCTCCCGCTTGCACTCTGTCTCTCTCAAAACAAATAAGCATGAAAAAAACATTTTTGAGTCGGGGGACAGCCACCCCCTTCAAGTGCTTCTGAGGATGCCGTGGGTGACATAATGCGGGTTTACACCGGGTCACCCGCGAAGCTGTCTACTTGGCTATTTCCAGACCTCAGCCTCTGACCCCTTAGTGGGTTGTGAATTCAATTTAACGAGTTATGTTGAAAAAGAAGCTAGAAAATCCCAGTCCTGCGTGCACATAGAGTAACTGCTGTTCATTGAAGCTTATTTCAGCTAAGTGTGTGCATGCATGTGTTTGGGTTACTACGGAAACACGTCTCTCAAAATGAGTCCAAAAAGTTTGAAAACAATGGTCGAATTCATATGTGTCTGGGTGCTTAGCTTATTTTTAATCCTTAAGATACAGCACAAATAATGTTGACAGGGAGGGCAAAGTCCACTTAGGGATATCCTTGCTTCTAAACTTTGGATATGACGGGGGGGGGACCCCAAGTGACTTCTAAAGTTTGTGTTTAAATTTTTTTTAATGTTGATTGTGAGAGAGAGAGAGCAGGAGTGGGCAGGGAGAGAGGGAGAGAAAGAAGCCTAAGGAGGCTCCACGCTGTCGGCTCAAAGCCCGACATGGGGCTCAAGCCTACAGTGAGGTCATGACCTGAGCCAAAGTTGGACGCTTGACCAAGTGAGCCACCCAGGCGCCCCTAAGTTATTCTTCTGGGTACTCTTCATATTTGGGGGAAAGCTGCTTTTCAATCTTTTTAGGTTGTAAAATCACACCCGTACTTTTAAAAATATACTCGATGTTTATTAAAGAAACGGGGGAATGCTCCTTCCCTGTAAATCAGTTTGGAGTACGTGTTTTGAGTGTTTTTTCTGTGCTGAGAAATGATGGGCATTTCCGAGTGTTGAGATTTCGTTCTGCATCCTGGGCGCCTGGCCACGCCCAGTGGTGGAGCGGTGACTCTTGATCTCAGAGTTGTGAGTTTGAGCCCCACTTGGGTGTAGAGATTACTTGGAAAAAAGGTTCTGTTGGGGGCGCCCGGGTGGCTCAGTTGGTTGAGTGTCTGACTTCGGCTTAGGTCATGATCTAACGGTTCATGAGTTCAAGCCCCACATCGGGCTCGCTGCTGTCAGCACAGAGCCTGCTTTGGATCCTCTGTCCCCTCCCTCTCTCTGCCCCTCCCCCACTCATTCCCTCTCCCTCTCTCTCTCTCTCTCTCACAAATAAACAAACATTAAAAAAAAAAAAAGGTTCTGTGTGCATCTTGCTTGTAGTGTCGTGGTCCTTACTGACTGCTTCCCAGGATGTAGTATATGAAGACGCCCCACGGTATTTTTAACATCTCCCCAGTCTGGATGTGCTTTAGTTTATTTGCTTGCCCCCCCCCCCCCCCGCATTGAAGTGGCTTCACGTTTTTAGGCACAGGCCCTGATTGGATCCACTAGTATCTGAGTAGTAGTGTTCTGGTTTAGGTATGAACATTTCCAAACCATTTAACTGGTGTTTCAGAACTTTAAAAATTCAGTTTGTGTAGAGTAATATTTTGAAATGAGACGTAACCTAGGATTAAGATTGAGCTGTAGGGGCCTGGGGACTCCTGTCGGTTGAGCGTCTGACTTCAGCTCAGGTCGTGATCTCACAGTTTGTGGGTTCGAGCCCCGCGTCAGGCTCTGTGCTGACAGCGGGGAGCCTGGAGCCTGCTTCCAATTCTGTGTCTCTCTCTCTCTCTCTCTGCCCCTCCCCTGTTCACCCTGTGTCTCTCTCTGTCAAAAATAAACATTAAAAAAAAAAAAAAGGCTGAACTGTATGCAAGAGCTCATATTCTGTTGTTTCTCATCTCAAAAAATGGCAGTTTCCTGGGGTTCAGCCCTGGAGGTTTGTGGGACCCGCCAGGCTGTGAGGTGCATGTAGAACCAAGATGGGATCTGGTCTTGGGACTGTTGTTGAAGCACGTATCTCGTCTGGCCCAGGGCAGGCACTCCGTTTGTGAGAAATCCTTTTGTTTTAATGACTTCTAGGGAGAGTAAAGATACGAAGTTTGAACTGAGTTCTTTTCCTGTTCTTTCTTAAAAAAAAAAAAAATTTTTTTTTTTTGATGTTTGTTTTTTTTGGGGGGGTGGGGGAGAGAACAAGTGGGAGAGGACCAGAGAGCAAGGGAGACACAGAATCCAAAGCAGGGTCCGGGCTCTGAGCTGTCGGCACAGAGCCCGACACGGAGCTCGAACCGACAAGCCATGAGATCATGAACTGAGCTGAAGTTGGATGTGTAACTGACGGAGCCACCCAGGTGCCCCAGTTTTTTTCCTTTTCTTTAATAACATTGGTCATTACCCTAAATCAGGATCTCTCCCTCGGCACTGCTGACATTCAGGACTGGATCATTTTCTGGGGGGCTGGCCCAGACTCTGTGGGGGTTGAGCAGCATCCCTGGCCCCGCCCACTCGAGGCCAGGAGCACCCTCAGTCTGACAACCACACATGTCCCCAGACATTGCCCAGGAGAATCTCTGACCCAAACTGATAAGCAAAATATCCCTGAATTCCCTAACATTCTTCCCTTTATCCGGGCACCCTGTGTTTCCCACATCGTCACCATGTTGTTGGACCTTGCGGTATTGTGATACTGGAGATCGGAGCTCCTGGGTGGCTCAGTCGGTTGAGCGTCCGACTTCAGCTCAGGTCGTGATCTTGTGGTTCGTGGGTTCAAGCCCTGCGTTGGGTTCTGTGCTGACAGCTTGGAGCCTGGAGCCTGCTTCGGATTCTGTGTCTCCCCCTCTCTCTCTCTGCCCCTCCCCTGCTTGCACGCTGTGTGCAACTCTCTCTCTCTCTCTGTCTCAAAAATAAACGTTAAACAAA